TCGTTCTGATTGGACGACTATCCGAGGACCCGTGTACACATTGGCGGGGACCTTAAAGAAACCTTGACAATTGGAATTCGAAATAAGTGTCAACTCTGCTGTAGGGGCAAAATTTCACTTATAACACACTGTTTGTCGTATTTTCCCATCTTCATTATCCCAGTCGGTGCAGAACAGTAGGACGTTAAACCTTATTTCATATCATTTCACTTGTCTACCTTCAACTTCACCACCCCTGCATTGGCCGAGAACGTTCATCCAGATTTTCCGGTGTGGTTTCCCCTTGTCAGTGGCGCAGGACGGGGGGGGGGGGGGGAGTGCTGACAAGGACAGCTGTCTAGTCGTTCGGATGGGACGAAAAACCGAGGTGCCGTGTACAAATTGGCGTGCACGTAAAAGATCCCCTGGCAGTTGGAATTCGATATAAGAGTAGGCTGTAGCGCCGCTGTCTGGGCACAATTTCCCTCATATCACACTGTATGACGTATGCCCGTCTTCATTAGCTCAGTTAAGGAGCAAAACAGTAGCACGTTAAACCCCATTTCATTTCATTGTTTTTCCTGATCAAACTTGTTCAATTTGTTTTATCTGAAATAGAGAAAAAATATTTCTAAATGTTTGAAATGAAATCAAGATTAATGTCCTACTGTTCTGTTCCGACTGGGCTAATTAAAATGGGCATATGTCATACGGTGTGCTATGCAGGAAATTATGTCCGGACAGCGGCCTACTCTGATTTGGAATCAAACTGACAAGTGTTCTTTTATAGGCTCCCCATCCCCATTCTGCACCAGTGACTAGGGGGAACCCTGTGGAAAATCCATGTGAACTTTCTCGGCCAGTGTAAATCGACTGGTCTTGTCCAATATCTGCTACTGCACCACACACAAGACACAGAAATCACAATTTACAACAAATGTACACAGGCCTGCCTGGAAATAACGGTTTTACGTGTACCTGACAAAATGTCAGGCACTAATGAAAGAGTACATGTACCTGACATTTTCAACTTAGCGCCGGACATGTATTAATAATATCAATAAAAAAGACAAATCAGTGCCAGACAAAATGACAGGCATCAGAGGTTTAGTGTCTGACAAAGCCTGAATCGGTGCCTGATATTGTCAGTGACAGGTGCCTTATAGTCCAGGAGCTAATGACAAAATAATATGGTCATCAGTTACAAAAGGTTTGAACCCAAATTCGTAGCAGGTGTCCATACGAGTAAAAATCAGTTGGTCAGATCGGGCACTGGTGGGGTGTATAGCCGCAGCAGCACCTTAAAGTAGGCCTAAAATTAAGTCATAAGTTACATGGCTGAAACTTTGTAGGGACAATGGTATCCATAGTCGGAGTAAATATTTCACAAATCTAACCAAAATTTCCGGGGCTTTCCCCAAGTCAGACCACACACAATATCGCCTCGTGGGGCTAATAATATGGTCATCAGTTACATGGCTGAAACTTACCAGAAACAAAGATCCACACTTGGTAAATACAATTTTCAAAAATCTAACCAAAAATTTGGGGGCTTTCCCCAAGACAGATCGCTCTAAAGTATGTCCGACCACACCCTAAAAATGGGGCTTTTTATATGGTCACAAGTTACATGGCTGAAACTTACTGGAAACAAAGATCCATACTTGGAAAACATATTTTTCAAAAATCTAACCAAAAATGTTGGGGCTTTCCTCAAGTCAGATGGTCCTAAAGCCCACCTGGCCACGCCCTAAAAATAGGACTTTTTATATGGTCATCAGTTAAATGGCTGCAACTTACCAGAAATATTGTTCCATGCATTTAAAATTAAAAAACAGTGTAGTTTTATGGTTTATAACTTGGATCTGGCAGTTCCCATGGTAATCATTAGAACAGTTTATCTCTGTGCCACCAACAATGAACTTTTTTATCTCATAATATAAATGAGAGAGAGACAGAGAGAGAGAGAAATGAGGTTTAACATCCACTCGACACAAACTAGGTAATTTCGGGACAAACATATATGGTTTAATTTTATGTCAATAATTCGCTTGCGCGTAGGGGTCTTTAGTAGTGGGAGGAAATCTGAGGACCCGGAGAAAACCCACGAGGTTGGCGAGCGACCCTACTCCTTGTCACGTACAACTGGGGACTTGAAACCACGCCAGTTGACTCAATGACAGACCTTATGATACAACATGCACACGTTAACTGTTCGGCCATCCAGCTCCCCTGTACAGTCCCTGGACTGTAGTGATGCAGACAACAGATTTACTCAAAATGAAAAAGATAGGTTACCAGGCAACGAAAGATACGCCCACAGCAGCTAAATCATCCGGGCAGTCACATATTTTTACTTTTTTTAGTAATGAAACAATTATAATACACTAATATCCGATTAAGAGTAACAACTCATCAATTAATTATTAGAAAATCATTAAAATTTGTTTGGTTTGAATGAAGTTCTGCCCCATGCTAACGATTAGTATACGAAACATTTAATATCATGGATTTAGCTGTTCAAGTTATCAAAATTCATTGAAAATCAATATACTTGTTCATCTCAAGACCTTAAACTGAAGCCAATCCGATGATAACTTTAGCCTCTAGAAAGTCACAAGATTTTTCAAAGTGATCAAGGGTCATAACTTTGGCAGTAATTATCAGAAATGTTGAAAATCAATAGGATTCTTCGTCTCATGACCTCAAATAATGCGCGTAAATTTGAAGTCAATCCGATATCATCTTTAGCTTCTAGAGCATCTACAAGATATTTTGAAGTGATCAAGGGCCATAACTCTGGCAATAATTATCAGAAATTGCTGAAAATCAATAGGCTTCTTTGTCTCATGACCTTAAACAATGTGTATAAATTTAATGTCAATCGGATATTTACTTTGGCCTCTAGAGCGTCCATAAGCAATTGTGGACGCCGGACCGACGAATGGGCGGACGGACGGGGTGACACAATTGAATATATGACCACATTTCAATGTAGGCGTTTAAAAAACAAACTAAGAATAAGGGGGAATATTTCCCAAAAGTTATATAAAGCCAGTACGAGTCATGATCGACTATATGCTACATGAAATATTTAGGCACATTGAAGGTATTAACGGCTCTTTATAAATCATATTTCGTTTCATGTTTTTTAATAGTACAAAATTTTGTTTTCTTTTCTTTACTACACTGGAAGAGTTGTTATGTAACAGGCGTTCTAGTTGATGTGAGAAATTAGCTAATGAAACGGTCTGTTACGGCGAGTTCTTGGCGTGATCTTCACGGAACTGTGGGTAAACCCCTAGAAAGGTTAAAGCTGATTGATTAATCAATGTCTTTCATAGGGTCAAAAGCCGTTTGTATGACACCTGACATGACCTCCCAGTACAACTGGTCAGATCTTCATGTAGTGTAAGCCGATTCCTCTGCCCCCTCTCCCAAAAATCCATACGCGCATGTGAATTATTGAAATATAATTGAACCAAGTGTTAGTCCCGAAATGAACAATTATGTGAAATTTACAAAGAGCCAAATTAAATCTAAAAGGCGTATGTAGTAGTCATTTTTGGTGTATTTAAGGAAATTCATTATTAATATTAATTATGCAAAATATATGTAAACAGGGAAGGGATTGCGGGCGAATTCTGATATTTTGAAAGTGAATTCCGGTGTTTATATGTTTTTAAAAGTAAATTCCGGTGATCATCGGTGTTTTTAAGTTATTTATTATTAATATTAATGCAAAATATATGTACAGAGGTAGGCCTTGGGGTCAAATTTTGATATTTGCAAAGTGAATTCCGGTGATTTAGTATCCGCTCAAAATCTAAACAAAACAACTCGACGCAGCCAAATGTTGACAACTGCTTTGCTTCTTTCAGCTGACGGCAAAATTCGTAATTTTCAGTTACCTGCACTAGTAACACGTTAAACTTACATATCATATTTATTTTTTTTTTCTCAAAATATTTTTTTACTGTTGATTTTTTATTAACGAAATTTCCAAAAACTATACTGCAAACTGATAAACAGAAATTGACCTTTTGAACTCTAGCAAATTCAAATTTGAAACACAGAATTTCACACGAAACGAAATTTATCTATTTTTCAGTTATTTTCAATATTTTCAATATGCCCAAAAATATTCACATTTGGTTAAATGTGCCGGAAGGACATATTGCCGAAAACACTGCAACATTAAGAATATAAAATTATATTTCGTTTCGAGAAAAATTTATAGGAAGATAGGCACAAAGGGTTAAATCTAATTAATAAGGACAACTTCAAGTTTGGCAAAAGGTCACGAGATGTAAACAGGGTTAACGCTAATCTCAACCCTAACCCTTACCCTGGACCTAGCCCTAATACTTAATCTAACCCTAACCAACAATCACACGCTCTACTTATTACATCTCAGCGACATCGACGAGAATTGAGTTGACCTTAAGAATAAGATCTAGCCATGGCAAATCTAGTTTCATTTTGTTAGCACAGTTTTATTTATTTGGTCACAGACCACTAAAGATTTCCCCATTCACAATGTTAATTCTTGTATCTTAGACAGATGGAGCAAAATGTGGAAACCCCTCGATTTACTTCATTCTCAGCCAAGTTATCATTGTTTGTCCATAGGCGTACGACCTGGGGGGGGGGGGCGCCCCCCCCCCCCATTTTGGGCACCAAATGCTGGGAAAATTTGGGCACACAATTGTACTTTGTAAAAGTTGTATAAAAAATAGTGTGTTCTTCAATGTGTCCAATTTAACATCGAATTTAAATTCAGAGTGTCTATAGTTAGGCAATTAAATAGAAATCTGAAGACTCATACCCTCTATTGTTTGGAGTACAGTAAGCCACGAGTTACAGTTACATAAACAACTGTTTTTAGTTGTGTATATTACAAGTTAATAAAATTTAGTTCTCTTTTAGTAATACTATTTATAACAGCGTAAGCATTTTTCATAAATCCCGGTTTTCTCATATTCTAGTAGTAAATTTATTTTATATTTTCTATCTATCAGGAAAATGGGTACAGAAAATCTGCAGACGCCTGCAAGAATCGCATAAAGAATATGAAGCATTCTTATAAAAAAAATAAAGGACCACAACAATAAAAGTGGGAGTGGCAAGAAAACTAGCAAGTTTTTTGACGCTATGGATAAAATATTAGGAACCAGACCCGCTACCCGTCCAACACATATTCTGGAGACAAGTATTAATTCAGGTAAGCGAACATGTTATTGTTATTATATTGTCAGGAGCAAGACTAAATCGATGCGATAGTTGGCAGGCAATATAAGCCTACAAACATGGGATCAAACTCACATATACACACAAAACAAATTAAATCAAATTTTTTTGCATAATAGCCATTGGAGAATTAGTGTTTTAAAATCAAAACTTATGGAAATTATATAATGGTATTTTTTTTAATTTTTTATAGAAACACAAGATTTGGATGATTTTGATGATGATGATAATGATGAGGAACCAACAAGTGTCAATTTGGAAAATGAAGAAAATGAGCCTACAGAAACCGTCCTCCGTAAACAGCCAGAAAAAAAAGGTTCAGTTGCTATTTATTCTAAATGGTTATCAATATTTGAAAAGAGTACAACACTGGAGCTGCTTTCTGTCTAAGAACGTGGTAAACCGGTCACTAATTCCTTCTGTGATTCAATATAAATTTTAAAAAATGCTAGAATAACATCCCACTGAAAACTAGCTGTACGTATAGATGAGTGTTGTGCAGGACAAATGGTATGTTTACTGGTTATAAAGTACACGGAACATTTGATTTTGTATCCCAATCAAATTAGAAAATGAAATGAAATGGGGTTTAACGTCCTACTCTTCTGCACCTAACCTGGGCTAATTGAAGACGGGCATACGCCATACAGTGTGCTATGAGGGAAATTTTGCCCGGGCAGCGGCACTACGGCCTACTCTTATATCGAATTCCAACTGCCAAGGGATCTTTTACGTGCGCTCCAATGTGTACACTGGACCTCGGTTTTTCGTCCCATCCGAATGACTAGGCAGCTGTCCTTGTCAGGCCCTCCGTTCTGCATCACTGACAAAGGGAAACCACGCCGGAAAATCGAGATGAACTTTCTCGGCCAATGCAGGGATCGAACACCCGACCTCCAGGCTAGCGAGCCAGCGTCTTACCCACTTAGCCACGTGATCCCCCCAATCAAATTAGAAATTATAGGTGTTCAAAAAAGTCATACCTGTGACAACGCCCTTAACTACTTTATATAGCTATTATTTACCTAAAGAATTTTGTTTATGATTTTAATACATAATAAGATCGAATTCAAAATAGTGTAGCCATGAATAGGTAAAACAAAACAGAAGAGTGACTTAATAAGGTGTATACCTATATGGAAATAAAATGCAGGACTTGAAATGTTCTCTGACAGGTCTGACAGGTAGTAAGTAGGTGGACTAAATTTACTAATGTTCAGGAAATTGACTCCAGACCACAATAGGCCTACTCATTATGATGTCACATTTATTTAATTATTCCTTTACAATATGGTTATTTTTGGTACATGCCTGACCTCCAGGGACAGAACCACGCCCAATTATTGTATAAGAACTTTAACACACCATCCACACAAGTTTTCATCTATAGCATTTTGAAGTATCTACACAGAAGTACATGTGTAACGGCACCATGGTAAATATTGTGGTTGTTTTTGGATAATTAAGAGTGACAGGTTAGTTACTGAAGGGATATTTCGAGGCCCGAATTGTCAATCATTGTTCATTTATTTAAACATTAAAGAGTTATTTTATTTACTTACAGGACCAGAAAAGAAAAAAAGAAACAGAGAGGATATAATTCAACGTGTTCTGAATGAGAAAACAACCAGCTTTATAAATTATCAAAGAGAACAAGAAAGATCATATTTTGAATTCGAAGAAAAAAGAATGAGAATGGAGGCAGATTCAGAGAGACTTAGAAAAGATCAGAGACGGGAGGATTGACTTAGAGCTGAGGAACAACGACGCGAGGATAGGGAAAGAGATAGGCAACATGAATTAAGATTATGGAGTTTGTTTGCCAATCAGGGATTTCAGCAGCATCAATTTTCTCAACAACAAAATGGACATGTTCCGCAGCCACAATTTTTACAAAGAGCTAATGGACACACATATACAAATTTATAAAACCATATTATTTTCAAGACCTATCATTTTGTGCCAAAAGTTCTGCTATGTAGAGCATTTATTTTATTATTATTATTATTGTTCGATTTATATAGCGCTTCATTACATGTGAAGTGTTTCTAAGCGCATATCACAAACATATACTTCAAACACACAGAAACAATCAAAATCAGGAGAACATAATTAAACACAGCTGCCTGTTAGGCGCTATTATTCAAAGGTTCATTGATAACAGTTAATTTTTGTTTGTAGAAATACATAGTTTTATTTATCATTCCATTGTGCCAAGGCTAGAGTTTTAATAAATTAATTTCCATGTTTTAATTATTAATATCCATATCATTTAACTTAATGTATCATGAAGCTGAATCATATTATTTTCAAGATATACCATTTTGTGCCAAAATATCTGACATGTAGCGCAATTATTGTCATTGATAACAGTTTATTTTTGTTTCTACAAATACATGAATTTTATTTGTCATTCCATTTTACCATGGCTCAAGTTTTAATAAATTTATTTCCATGTTTAAATTATTAATATCCATATCATTATCAAATGTGTCATGAAGCTGATATATGTACTTGGTTGTGAAAGTTAACTGTAGTTGTAACATGTTTTATGTGATTTCAGTTTTTATGAATTTAAATTACCAGTATGAGATTAATTGTTTCAATGGCATTTAGCAATTGAACTGGGAATACACAGGACAATCCTTGTTTATATCTAAAGCAAAGTTTTGACTTGGCTTCTTATCGTTATCAAATAATGCGAAACGGTATGAGGTGGGTGTTTTCTTCTTTGTAAGTCAATTGATAAGCCCCTAATAAGAACAAAACAGTCTGTTATGTTTTCAAAAATGGTAAATTCTCTTTTATTTAATACATTAATTGAAAGACATAAATTAAAAATTGATCAATAACTTTATAGTGTAGGCTTGTACAGTGGACTCGGAATATTCCGAATTATTAGACCAATCTGGGGACCCCCGTTAAACGATTTCTGTTGAATTAACATTGGATAATCCTGCCTTCAATCAGTGGGTGTTAACCGACAAGCAATCAATTATCGGTGAGCTTAAAGTATGTGTCAGTCTTTGTTAATAAAACCTTGATAATTTTATAATTTCTTGTAAGAGAGTGCTTGGTATTTCATTTGATTTTTTCACGTCAAATACAACAACATTAAATATAAATTGCTGAGATGAAGAATCACTATCATAATAATATTTTGTTCATAACGACGCACAAGTGTTTTGTACGCACCCAAAGTAAAAACATAATAATTTTATATAATAAAGTTTCAAATGTACAGAAAGGTTTATCATATTTTTAAGTTCTGGGTATTCGAAGGTGCATTAAAATAATACTTTGGTATTCGAGGTACAATAATACTTGCGGTTTTGAGACAATTAAGTATTCCGTCATGGTGTATAATCCGGCATTGTATCGGTCCTGTACAATGTTGAAAGTGAAAGAGTCCACTGTATATTTTTAATTACATACACTTCTTCAATGATGGACAACAAAGATGACAATTGGACCTCTTATTATATAATCCAACTCTGGCTTAATGAGATGCATGGATCAAAAAATCAAGATGCCAAAAGGTGTCAATTTAAATTCTGTATCCAAATACCTTTAAATTAGTATGTGACTTAGAAATATGCTTGGAATATTTAAATTTGAATGTACCATAATATTACTTTTAAGAAAGAAGATATTGAAAATTTTGGAAACAAATTGACTCCATAGCAACCATTTGGCCAGAGCTGATCACATATATAGTTATAATAGACCCACTGTGTTATAAGATTATCAGTTATTTTTCTGTTGTATGATTTTTATTATGAAAATAAACCAATTTAGTTTGACCATTTTTTAGTTTTCTGCAAACACACAAAATGAAACAATAAAAGTAAACAAAAGATGGCATATACACATAGAAATTCTTTGTAGTGAGTGTATGTAACAGTATGGCCAATTATTACTTTCTTAATTATTTGTTTTGTAAGGTTAAATTATTCCTGGAAGTATTCAGCCAGGATATTTCTAATGTTAGTGCAGTCTGCATTAATTGCCTCTTCGTTACTTTGATTTGGCTGAGGCATTTAGTTTTCTTCCTTTGCTACATCCTCTAGCCATTCAACCCTAAATGGGTCTTTTGCTTGTTCGCATATGTTATGAAGTATGCAACAGGTCATAATAATATTGGGGACCTTGTCAACATTCATATCCAATCGCTTTAATAAGCAGCGCCAGCGACCTTTTAGGCGACCAAAGGAATTTTCTACCGTCATGCGTGAACTACTTAGCTTATAATTAAATGTCTTTTGTTTTTGGGTCAGGTATCCATTGTCTGTGTATGATACAGCGATCATAAAATGCAAAATAGCCTACCTGTCGCTCAACAGATATTGGTTCCCTCATACTTGTTACTTGTTTCTCAAGAAATGGTCTCAAAATTCTGCACAGATATTCAAATGTACATTTTGACATTCTGAAGTTTTCTAAATACTGTATATCATCATAAAAGCTGAAAATAAAATGTAAAGGAATAAGATTAGGTAAATAATTAAACTTAAAGTAGTCAATATCATCCAAAATCTGCGACATTGAAAACACAAAGTATTTGTCAATTTCAATCAACATTGATCTTGTGATCTTAACGGGGAAAAGATGGGTTTCTGATATCCAATATTTGAGACAAAACAAACATTTAACCATTGGTACACGAATTGTGTAATGCATTTCAGTGTCATTTGTAACAAGGGACTAGAAGAACGAGGCTAGACATATTCCCACAAGTCATATTCTTATCTGGAGAGCATGCACAATAAATACTATCAGTGTAGACTGGAATTACCAGTTGCTAGACATTGCCATTCGATTTAGACATCTAGAGTATTTCGACGAATATAACTAATTAGAAATTATGTGTTGCGACCCATTTAAGTGTCAATTTCTAGATCCCAAATATTAACAATTTAGCTCTTTTAAGCATGCAACTATTATTATTCGAAATTAAAAATTGTCTATATGGCACATATAATAGCACAGGCCTATTTGTGTGAAGATTGTTTTGTTTTTTTAGGTTGTTTTTTTTTTTTGGGGGGGGGGGGGGACGTTATATTTTCTATAAATATTTAATTGATGACCCCTTGGTTAATATTTGTTTTATACACCTTGTCCGTGTACATATTTGACTACATTATAATGATTATAAATTTTAAAACAATATATATGAATATATCAAACCAAACCTGTATGCGTGATTCCACCAATTGCCACTGTGATACCGTGACCATATTCTCCTGTTGGTTGGCATGAATATCACAGAAGTGACACTCATTAGCATCAGAAAGAAGTACCTTTGTTGACTCTGTCGTTGTCTAAACTGTTTAATTCTATGTCTCAAAGCATTAGTATTCATTTCTAGGAAATGTGTATAAACTATCCGAGAGTAAGAGAAACAAATTTCGCGGATTTTTTTTTCACAGGATGTTTACATATTCTACCAGGAAATGGTATGTACGCATGCATAGTTAACTCTAACCTCCGACCGAAGAGGTCAGAATAGTTAAACAGGTTTGACTTATAGTACGTGTGAACGCAACACGACGCTGTCTTAAAAACCCCGGCGATTTTGAACTGGTTTAAAAATAAGCGTCTGAACGGGGTATTAGACATGCGTGAACCGAATCCACGCCAATTGACTCTATGATAGACGTTACTCACTGAGCCACCGCGACTCCCTTGATATTATAATACTTGATATAATATCAAGGTTAATTTACGTCCGCTTCCATTGAGATGATACGGTAATCGAGTAGTTTCCTAGTAAGATTGGGCGTCTAAACTTTTCATATATCATGTCATACTGTTACTGGAAATAACCACCTGATAAATACATTTGTGACAATGTATCTTTAATATCCTTGTGGTTGAAGCGGATATTTAGTTGAGAGATTAATTTTCCAAATATTGCGGGGGGGGGGGGGGGGGGGGGGGGGGGGCGAATTGTTAACTCGTGCGCGCTGGATCATAAGATCTGTCGTTGAGTCAAGTGGCGTGATTCCCCTCTTGTACGTGACAAGAAGTAGGGTCAAACCTCGTGAGTTTTCCCCGGGTCTTGCGGTTACCTCCCACTTCTAAAGATCCCTAAGCGAATCATTTACATAAAATTAAACCATATATTAGTCCCAAAATCTCTCTCTCTCAGCCCCCCCCCCCCCCTAACCGTTTGTGCAATCTGACATTTTGGGCTGGAATAGAAGAAAAAGGAGTCCGTGGACTGTGAACGATTGGTTGGTATTCGAGTCATACCTAAGTTAGGGTATATTAGATCACTTTGAAGTTGCTGCATTCGTGGGCTGGAATAGCAAGAAAACACATTTGCGGGAAGGGGTGCTCCTTCGCCTATCGCAGACGACTGGAACTACCGTCTGTAACCGAAATGTTTTCGGGCATTTCAGATTCTGCCCTTTTAACATTCATCGACCCGTATCCCCCCACTTACTAAACCAAGCATATGATTGGTTTATATTGGAGAATAACTAACATCAAAGTTTACTGTATTACAAGCTATGATGGGAATTATTAACTTCTATAATCAGGATATTTCAAGTGAAATGAAATGAAATGGATTTTAACGTTCTACTGTTCAGCTCCGACTGGGCTAATGTAGTGTGCTGTGTGAGAAATTTTGCTTGGACAGAGGCTCTACGGCCTACTCTTATTTCAAATTCCAACTGTCAAGGGTTCTTTTACGTGCACGTCAATGTGTTCTAGAACAAGTCTGATTTGAGCATGTTCAATTTGCTGAAACCATTATTGCCAGAATTGCGAAATTGAATACAAATATAAACGACATAAAATGAAGATAATGGGGTATGAGCCGGTTCCTTTTTCTAAATGTTTGGAAGCAAACAGATCAACATCATGTAAGAAAAAATGATTACAAATCTTTGTTCTTAATATTTTTGTGATGATTTTATAGTCGACACATAACAGGCTTATTGGTCTATAGTTCTTAAGTAATCGGTGGTCGCCTCTATTCTTATAGACAAACAATTTATTCTTATAATTAATTATTATTATACCGGTTCTCATTGGGTTAGATAATTCACCCTGTAGATAGATGTTGTTTATTACTTCTGTCAGGTCGGTTCCTATTGTGTCAAAGAATTTGATATAGAAATCTCCTGGAATACCGTCGATGCCTGGGCTACGGTTTGATCTGAAACTTTGTAACGCCTTCAGATCTTCATCTTTAGATATGAAATGAGACAGGGAATCTCTTTCCGTGTTAGTTAGGGTATTTATGTTACTGTTTTCAATATAGGAGTTTATTAGGTTTTCGACAATGTTTTGGGTAGTATATAGTTGTTGGTAATATTGGTGAATTGTGTCTAGAATATCTTGTTCATTATCAAATACTGTATTATTTTGATTGATTAATTGTTTAATTTGCTTTTTAGCACTGTTTTTGACCTCAGCTAATTTATATATTTTAGAATATCGTAACCTTGTATTGTATTTTGTTCTATTATTTCGATTTTTGTTTGAATTTCATGCATTGAGTTAGTATTCATAGGTAGTATGGAAGTAGATCAACTTATAGTGTGATATATATTGAGACTATATTTATGTTATATATATGAATGCATATCTAGCACTATGCATATCTAGCGGTGTATTATGAATGTATGTTATATTAAAGGACGACGGATATTGTTAGTGTTGGTGACACGGGCTACTCCTAGATCTATCTTTATAATAGTATTAACATGTCACGTTTAGATTATATTTAGAGAGAAAGATAGATAGATATGGGGTTAAGTGGAGGGAAACCGGAAACAGGACCCGGAAAAACCCACGAGATTCGTTGACACGTATATGCGGGGAACCTACTCCATGCAGATCGACTCTATGTATATGATAGACCAGGAAAAAACCCACGAGGGTGGACAGGCTACCCTATTCTGTGTCACGTACATGCGGGGAACCGAGTCCACGCCAATTGACTCTATGATAGACGTTACTCACTGAGCCATCGCGACTCCCTTGATAATATAATACTTGACATAATACCAAGGTTAATTTACGTCCGCTTCCATTGAGTTGATACCGTAGACAATAAATCAATGTCTAAGTATTGTGATAATAACATATTGATGTCAGGGAATTAAGTTCGATTCTCGAGAAGAACCTTGAGGTTTGTCAAGCCTGAGTTTCACCTGTCAGGGGTATAACGTCTATTGGCCTGACTAGTCCTTCGGATGGTTCCTACGTGTATACATTGGCGTGCACGTAAAATACATTCGATGAAACGCCGCTGTCAGGGCAAAATTCTTCTCATCAGCATAACATCCCTTAATAACAGAATAAAAAGCCGGTAGTATTGTGTTGTGTTAACGAAATGTTAAATTACATTCCTATTTTATTTTGTGGTTATATGACTAAAACGTCAGTTATATCAAGATAAGCCAGAATATTTTAAAGATACTTCACCGAAAACAAACCGTTCGATCAAGAAATAACAACCTCTCCCTCAGTTAAACTAGCATACAATAAGCCGTCGGGTTGGCTGTTAGTGATACCCTGACATTTTTGCTCAGTTCCTGTTTTTCGCGTAATCCAGTATTTTTCTAGTAAGATTGGGCGTCTAAACTTTTCATATATATCATGTCATACTGTTACTGGGAATAACCACCTGATAAATATATTTGTGACAATGTATCTTTAATATCCTTATGGTTGAAGCCGATGTTTAGTTGAGAGATTAATCTTCCAAATATTGCGGGAGGTTGCGTGACCGAAAGGTTAACGCATGCGCGTTGGATCATAAGGTCTGCAATGAGTCAAGTGGTGTGGTTTCGATTCCCCGCTTGTACGGGACAAGAAGTAGGGCCCATCCTCTTAATTTTGCTCCCACTTCTAAAGACCCATACGCATAAGCGAATCATTT